ATATTTATATATACATATATTATATATTTACATTTGAAATCATTTCTAAATCCATACTTACTGAGGTCCATGAGTTCACTCCCCACTTACAATCACATCACAGGGCTTATTCTAGTTTTCTCTCTTTCCGTATTTGTAACTTCCTTCTCTGACAGTGGGAAACTGAAGTCTCATTATTCTTAACTGATTAACATATTCGACTCATCCTGCATACTAACCAACCTCTCATTACTATAGCTACCCAGCCCCTATGTTGACACCTTGTTTATCAACTCTTGCACTAGGATAAATCCTATCTTCACCTTATTCAGGTTTTAATATCCCATACTAATTCACCCCATGTATAAACATCTCAGCCTACTTGGGCTCTGAAACCCCACAGCAAGCCATCCCTACACAGGGGATGTCGTACCCCTTCGCAGGTTGACTGCCTCATTCTGCTTTGGCTCTCAACATCCCTCACCAGGCTGCACCTCCAGGTGAGCTCATACCTTGTTCACTGTACTACCCTCCCGCCCCACTCTTCCCCAAAGGCTATAGGAATGAACCATTCAGGAAGAGAAAGAGGAAGGGGAAGGGAAAGGAGAAAAGGAAAGAGGGTCACAAATCATAAGAACACAACTTGCTCTTTTTCCACTGGAAAATCAAGAGCAGTGATTCTCAAAAAGGAAACACTACAGATTCTGTGGTTTGAAATGCATAGCCAATATATAATTTTGTTATTTGGAATAGGAAACAAATGTATTGTTTCATGATATGAACTATTCAAAATGAAGCTGGACAAAACGTTTGTGGATAAGGATAGGATCTTGTGGTGAGGGAGAAAGGAAGTAAGATTTCATATTTATCAAAATGAAGCATGAGTTTAAAAATATTGCCATAGAGGATAGGCATCTTGGTGTTTAGGAAATACCGGTTTTGCTGGCTTTATTCCAGTCAATATTTATTAGCATTGCAGGGTGAAAGACTGTTAGAGGACCCTTAAATAATTCAACACCAGGAAATCCTCAATTCCCTTAAATTCTAATTCAAAAAATATATATACTGTTTAATATTGTTGTATATAATATTTAATATCATTATATATGATATTTAATATCTTTATATATGATGTTTAATATCATTATATATAATGGTTAATATCATTATATATAGAATGTTTAATATTATAAAACTTCCTTTACAGTGAAGTAGTATTAGGGCATTTGCATGAAAATCTATGATTTGCTAATTAGAAAATCATTTTCTTATTACTGTTTTTTTTTTTTAATTTATTTACTTTTAAAAATTTTTGGCTGCGTTGAGTCTTCGTTGCTGTGTGCGGGCTTTCTCTAGTTGCAGCGAGCAAGGGTTACTCTTCTTTGCGGTGCTCGTGCTTCTCATTGCTGTGGCTTCTCTTGTTGCAGAGCACAGGTTCAAGGCACACGGGCTTCAGTAGTTGTGGCTCACAGGCTCTAGAACACAGGCTCAGTAGTTGTGGCGCACGGACTTAGTCGCTCTGAGGCATGTGGAATCTTCCCGAACCAGGGCTCAAACCTGTGTCCCCTGCATAGGCAGGAGGATTCTTAACCACTGTGCCACCAGGGAAGCCCTTATTTTTTTAATGAATATTAAATATTCAAACAAATCAGAAATTAACAGAGTGGGAAACTATAGTGTCCCCATTAGTAAAGTGGGTATTATTGATGGAGTAACCTGATGGGGGATTAATTCCATATGTTAGTTAGTGACGTCGTTCCTCCTTTTGGGCCACTTGAACATGGCTATTTCCACATATGAAAAACTATAACAGAGGGCCACATCATAATGTTCTTCTTCAATTAAGAAATAATTGAAAAAAAAAAGAGAAATAATTGAAAAAGCCTTTGAGAGCTACAAGATGTGTTCTGAATCATCAATTTCAAGAATTTACCTTAAGGAAAATTTCCTAAAAAAATCAGAACACATACAATTTTTAACTATAGTAATAAAGGTAACTATGCTATATATGAATTTAAAAATGGAAACCACCTGATGTCCTACAATACAGAATTGGAAGAATAATTATTTTACAGTCATAAAGTGGAATATCATATAATTTTTAAAACAATTTGAAGTAGATATTAGGAAATAATTGTTTTATATGTTTTTGAGTGAAAACCTAGTATATAGCAGTATTCATTTTTATATAAAAAATTAATATATTTATGTGCATTTGCACATAGAGAAAGGCCTGATTGGTTATAGATTAAAATACCATTATGTACTGGAGTTTCAAACTGGTTTTATTTTTATTGTTTTCCCCAAAATTATTCTTCTGTCCATTTTTTTCTCCATTCCTTCAACAAATATTTATTAACTCTATCTTGTTCGAGGCTCAAAGAGCTAATTTCATTTCTTCCCTTGAAATAAAGATAGTATATCAATACCTTAATATCCTTGCTAGCTGAGTACATATGTCCCATCTCTTCTTATTAATAATTATCCAAAAGGCACCTGAAAAAACATCGTGGAATACCTTAAGTTATAACCTGAGTGATTTAAGCCTTGGAAAACATTAAACTTTGCACAAAGCAACTCTTTGAATTTGACCTTTAAAAATAAGAAAATTCAGTTAATAAAGGGAGAAACTTTATCTCTGAGCACATATGAAAATTCTCTGCCCCAGGAACTGTGGAGTGTATTAGCTTGACCTGTAGATACACAGTGGATGATTTAGAAAATCAGTATCTCTCTTTAGCCATTGTATTAAAACCAAGGAAATAAAATTATGTCCTGATTTCTAGCATAAAAAATTCTGATTCCTAGAAAAATGTTATTCTACCTAGCTAGTTCAATATGAAACACAGTGAATTAGACTAACTACATTTATTTCTAAATTTACTTTGTGTGATCAAGTAGATTAATTTGAAAAACTAATGTAATGATTACTAAGTAGGAAGGTGATTACAAACTACAGGAAAATAGTCTTTTACTTTAATGTTCCTTGTAGGCACAGAGGATTTCAAGACTAGTAGCTACTGTACCATTTCATTTCTATAAACTGGTGTAGGTGTTTGTGTTATAAACAGTAACATATTATTAAGAAGAGTTAAGGATGCTGGTAGCTTACAAACCAAGGAGTGTGATTTCATGAGAAGAAGCTATATCCTCTTTATGTTGATCCAGAGTACTAAGCTGCCTAAACAGAGGAAGGCAATATTAGTACTGTTTACATTCTTCTTTTGCTCTACATTTGGAAAACAGTCAATAAACATCAGCCGAGATTTAAAGAGTTATTTTCTCTAAAGTATACTGTATCTCTTTGGATTTTTACGGAAATAAACATTCTCCTGAATTACTACTTTTGGATTATGATAAGGTCAGTTTTGCAAACACTTCTTCGTATCATGGACTACACTCACAAAATTTTCTGGTAGGATGCTGTGCAGCTCTCTAGCACAGAGCCATGAGGTCTACTTGTGAAGTGTTACCCTTACCCCTACAGTAATGCTGGGATGAGATTGCTCCACTATCTGTGATACTACAGTTCAACTACTGCAAGCTTTTACGACCTACCCCACCCCCATCTGCAGAGGTTACAAGAGGCTTTTTCAACTTCCCTTCTCTATTCCCGACAGTAGTTTGACTTATGCAGATTCAGACACAAATGCAGGTATTTCTGCTTCTGCTGCTGCTGATGACCAACCTACCCCTGGTGCAGCATTACATATGAAAGTGGCAATAAACAAAATCAGCCCAATTTCATCATTTCTATGATGCTTAAAAAGGAGACAGATGCCTTGCATAAAGGTCATTTGCTCTTCAGGTTGAGGAAATATAAAAACTCATGTTCTACATTTATTAGTTGGAGGGGTCCTTTTTATTATGCTCTAGTGAAAATGTGAATTTGTGTATTTAGTAAGACATGACTGAGTCTGTATGGAAACTAGTCAAATATAACAGTTATCTGTGGTATAATGAGAGGCCCATCATGTGAATTGCTAGTTATAGGTAGAGATTGATTAGTTTTAACATAAAATAATGAATTTCATTTCATACATGTTCCTGTTATACTGAAACAAAAACCATAGCAAGCAGAACTGTTTTAGAAAATTTACATTATAAGGTCCAAAGCCTGAATATGAGCCCAAAGTCTACTATGTGTCCTTTAGGAAGTGATATTTGGAATGACTCATTAGTAGGCAAAGCTAGAACTCAAGAATATTGAAGCACTTTACTTATGTACTATTTTGCTAGAAATGGATAGCTGTCTATAGAAATCTGTGTCCTTCCATTAAACATGCAGAGTTATCACTGAAAATTTCAGTCCCGTCCTCCTTGCACATGGAAGGGGATGTATGTTAGTTTGTCCTAATGAAACACAAAAGAATTGATGTGTGCTTATTATGGACCAAAGCATTTAAAAGAGGTGTGTCATCTCCACTTTCCCTTTCTTTTCTACCAGCTGGATGCACAGGATTCCAGACTTTAGGGGATGAAGGAGCCACAAGAGAGAAGAAGCCTGATTCCCCAAATATCCACACAGAATGAAATTGCCCACTGACTGGGAACAGCTGTATCCAGCTGACTGATATGTGAGGCATAATTAATTGTGTTAAGACATGGGAATTTGGGGGTTATTTAAGAAATCATCATTACACTAACAAATACTGTTCTCCATAATACTCAAATAATGATTTGAGGCAGGGAAGAAGATAGAGTACTGGAACAAAGAGGAGAAGGGATGAGCATAGGTATGGCTGAGTTTTTGCTAATGTGTGAATAAAATAACCTATTAAACAATGATATAGCTAATAGGGGATTAGTTAAAATGTACATATTCTCCTTCTACATCCATCACTTTAGCCAACTTTGCTGCTGCTTTATGCAAGTTTTCTGTGCCTCAGTTTTCTTAACTGCAAAAGAAGAAATTCCACTAGATGAACTGTATACTTATTGATTCTTTCAGCTATAACATTCCCACTCCATGTTTCCACTAAAACATGAAGCCGTGTACTCTGTTACAAAGTGACCTAGCATTTCTCTGAGAAGAAGAATTGTGCTATAGAGTAAAGAACACGGCACCAATCACCTACCAGGATTCCAGGGTTTCCCCTACCTCTGGATGACTGCAGGTATTTAGACAAGTTACTTAAATTTTCTGGACTTCAGTTCCTTCACCTATAAAGTAAAAATAAAGGTAAAGTTATCCCTTTACGCTCTAATATTCAGTAATTTCTAAACAGTCCAATTTGTATGGTTTTTATGGAAATGAAAAGCCAGCCCATTACTGTGCTTCTGAAGTAAAAGGCATAGCTTCCCCTATCGAGTGCTATCAAGAAGTTAGGCCAAAATCTGTTGACCCATAAATAATTTTTAAGAGACTATGACATTTGCACCAGCCCTCTTCTCACTTATCACTGTAGTATTAGGAAATTTTCCCTGAACAGCATGGCAGAGGCAGCAGAAGTACAAATTTATAGTTAGCTCCCAGCCCCTAGGCTAGGGTCACATTCCTCACCGATGGTGTTCTCCCAGTGCAGGAGCTCCTCTGGAGACCAAAATGCAGTGCAAGGCAAGTCCTTCCCTTCCGTGAAGCAGAGAGGAGGGCTACTTATGTCATGACTGGTCAAGGGTGGGAAAATAAACATTTTCTCAAATTCAGCCTTGAAAGCATCAATTAATTCTACCCATGTCTTTACAACAGCTCAGTTGCTCCATACACAGAAAAGTGAATCAACTGAATTTATCTTTCAAAAAAGTCAGTGGAAAAGAAAAAAAGGGAAATGACAGGTCAATTTAACTTTAGTTATTAGTTGGCGTGTGTGTGTGTGTGTGTGTGTGTATGTGTGTGCGTGTGTCTGTGTGTGTGTGTAGCAAAGGAGAAAGGGGGGCGAGGAGAGACTATTTATTAATACAGGCATTGCGTTGGAATGGTTAATTTCTACCTATCTCCAAACACCCACCTTAGGTAATTTTTCTCCATTAAAGTAATTTGAAATTTAAATACAAAATTCCAATTTTATCTCTAGCTACTTAGAAAAGAGCTTAGTTTCAATGAAAGGTCAACTCACTGTAGAAAGGATAAACACAAGAAAATGTTTAGCTTCTCAGTGGGTGAAAGTGGTAGCAAAATAAATTTGAGAGATAAAGACGTTCAGTTATTTTTAGTTTTAAGGGTGTGTAGTCTATAAATGAGAACACACATTAGGATAATTGGACTAGAAATGTACACATCTTGAGAATATACAGCTAAATTTGATTGGGGATTTCTAAACCTCACTGCAACCTTAGCAGTTTTATTATCTGCAATGATTATATTTGTTTGCCTCTGTTTCATGCCTTCAGGAAAGACTTGCTTGATGGCTATTAACCTACATGCGATGAATTTGAGAGGCATAAAAAAAAATCCAGGTTGAAACTCTATAATTATAGAATATGGTTTTTGTAAAAAGGGAATTTGACATTTAAGTCAGCACTATTATTTCTTTACTTTTTTGTGTGTTATTCATAACACTGATTTCTAAGTTTATTTTAATATAGATTTTCCCTCCTGCTTTTTCCAAAGATACCTATAGCATTATTTGACATATTACATGAGACATTTGTATGTGTTGTGTATACGTTTCATGTGATATAATATGAGGAATTGAGCTGTTTCACACTTAGCTATCTGGTTTTTTTTTGGTCACTAATTATTAGAGAAAAAATCATGGAACGTTTCACGAATTTGCGTGTCATCCTTGCGCAGGGGCCATGCTAATCTTCTCTGTATCGTTCCAATTTTAGTATATGTGCTGCCGAAGTGAGCACTATCTGTTTTATATTTACTTATATTTTGAGAACACCTAACATCATAAACTATCATTGGTGATCACCAAATGAGAGCATCTTGACAACCAGCTTGGATAGTATGATGTAGAATTCAAGAACACAAGGTCTGACAACAGATAAAAGTTTTCAAATCCTGGTCAGTATGTGGACTTTAGCATATGATCTATTCCTCTCAAGGCTTGTTTTTCTCAGCTGTAATGTGAGGGTACGTTGGAGTCTTAACTATTAAAATGATGCAGTTTCTACTTCAAGCAACAGAGTGTTATCTGCATTTCTATTTTACCTCCTTTTTCATTTAATTTGCATTTTATTCATATTCTTCATTGAGTTGCTTTTTACTAATATTTTCTTCTCTTCCTAACATGGGCATCTTTTGTCCAAGATGAAACTGCCTGGTTAATTAATGGACAGTTTAGACAAGGACTCATCATTTCTTCTAAATGATGGTTAAATGGGACCCGTGCTAGTTTTGACTATTTCCCTGCTGGGGTCATGATATTGAAGTGTAGGTCTTCCTGAAAAGATCTGAGGCCAAAGGCCCTCTGGACTCTCCCATCATTTTTCTGCCTGACCCTGACCTTTATTTAAAAAAAGAAGTGTAGTTTGCTGCTCTGACTTATTCACCACTCTGACCCAGTTTTCTGTTGAAATCTTTGTCCTACAGTTTGTGCAACATGATTCTCCATAATCGGGTCTTGGCCCCTCTGACCTGAACCAACTGATTGTACCCTGAGTTTAAGTGATCGCTCTACTTGGATCAAAGAAGGAAAGAGCTCCTTTCATTCTGTGTCAACACCATCTCAATAGTTGTCTTTCAAACAGCACTGTCTCTTTATCAGGCAAGAGTAAAACATTAATTTTAAATTTGTAGTCTCCTTTAAATGTTACAAAGCCCATATATATCTCTACTATCTTTTTAATTCCTTCTAAGTATAAGACAATGCAGATAAGGCAGGTATTATTGTTATCTTAATTTCACACACAAGAAAGCTAAAACCCAGAGAGGTTAAATGAGTTGCTCCAAGTTACACAGTAACCAGTGTGCAGAGCTGAGATAAAATCTCAGGCTTTTTGAATCAGAAGCCATTTTTTTCCTTCCCATAATACATGACTGACTTGAGCCATTCAACAAGCGTGAATCAAAATGAGGAAAGACTAGGTGCCAATAAACATTTGTTTTGTTTCTCTTTGGGAGACGTGTGGCCAGAAATAACATAATGATAAATTGAATGTAAATTTATGAATAGAACTTTGACCGGAGAGAAAAAAAAATTGACCCTGAAACTCTGCCACCCACATGTAATTTTTATTGAAATGTTTCTAAGCTGACTTGTTGATATAGCCAAGAAACCAAAGTGTTACTAAAAGAGTGAATTGTTTAGGTACATGGCCACAACACATGGTGTCCAGATCTGACTCAGAACATCTAGGGTATATTACTAGTTGTTAACGTAAAGAATATAGCACCTGAAAGAATAAGATGACATTAAGTAATTTTTTTTATAAGTACTGTTTTTATCTTTAAATTTAGATACAAATATATTTGAGAGGGAGATTACTGATAACTTGCTAATGACATAGCAGATAACATATTTAAGTTTTGATGACTTGAAAATTTCCTATTGACAAAATTGAGATAATAGTGATGAAAAAATCCTATGAGCCAGTTGTGGGAGACTTTAAGTGTGTTTTTTATTTCTGTATTAATAATTTATAATTCAAAGTATTTTACAATAATTACTTTTCTTTTACAAATTTCCTTTGAGATGGTTAAACCACACGCTAGGTATAATAGGAAATACTTTGCATGCCTAATTACAGAATTATGCAAATATCCCACCAGTATTACTATCTCTCCAATGATAAGGATATATTTTTTTCCTACTCACATCATTGAAAGACTTCTACCATCTGGAATAGCTTTCCTGCAAGTGCATACCTATGTGTGGATGCATGTATTATGACTCTGTATACTTCTATTAGGAATCTTATTTAAAAATAGATATTTTCATCTAACTATCTAATTACTTTTACTAGATATATTGGATCTATGAAATTAACTGAACTTCCATATAATTATTATATGATAGAGAATAACTATAGAATTGGTAATATATTGCTGAGCAAATAAGAATATCCGTCATCCTGTATTCATGAACTAACGTGTACTAGGTATGGATAAACTACTTGAAATACAAGCATGAATAAAATATGACCAGTGTCCATTCTGAGCTCTAATTCATTGAGGTCATTGGCCAAGAAGCCCTCATAACGCATTCTGCTATTCAGTAGTAGAAACCTCTTCATGCCCCAAAGGGCTCCTTTTCTTTTTCTCTCTGGGCTCTATAGAGCAAGCTACCTTCTTTTCCTCTGGCAGCTACTACTACATCCTCTTTCCCCTAGGGCTCTTCACCACGAAAGCCTGGATCTACAGAGGATGTGGCCTTCTAAGCTGTATACCCCTTGAGATGTAAAGGTGGACCCTATTCTACTTACAGTTATACAATTAATCATGATTAAGAAGTATAGAGGAGAATTTCCAAAGTAAGTGCATAGACAGTTCTAGAATCCATATATTCTACTTCTCTATTTCAAGTGTATTTCAGAATCACTTCATGAGTATTTTAAAAATGCACATCATGGGGTCCACCCAGGACCTATTGAATCAAATCTATGTTAGTGAGGACCTGGGAATTCCCATATTTTAAACAAGTCTCCTGAGGGATAAAACCTTTAAAATCTCATAATATAATCTCTAACTGCAGATGGTAAATAAAATTATAGGACATTGCTCTTTAAAGTAGGGTCCTTAAACCCTACTTGTTCATGACAGAAATACAGTATTCCAACTTTTATGTATATCTAAAGTAAATTGACCATTAAATTATTTCCTTAAAGCTGATTTTGAAGATTATAGCACTACTACAAACACAAATGAAATACAAAAAAGGTAGCAGAGCTGACATAACTTCACCAAGTGTAAACCCTTTGAACTGCAAATCATGAAGTAAAACCAATGATGATCTCATCAGATATGTCAAGGAATCATAAAAGTATCCAAAATTTTCAAGACTATGTGAAATATGGAGTCAAATCATAGAGAGTTAATGGTATGCTTCCAATGAAAAAGTAAAAAGTACATTAAAATGTTTAATAATTATTTTATTCCTAATTCCTATTTTATGAATGTTTTATTCATACTTCATAGTGTATTAATACAGTAGTAAATGTATATCATTTATTAATATATATGTGTTGGGACATTTTCAGATTGTTTTTACTCAGAAGTATGCAGTCGCATCATCAAAAAGTCTGCAAACAATAAATGCTGGAGAGGGTGTGGAGAA